AATTCAGAAAATATGAGATGTTACCTGGTATAACACATAAAGATAATCTGGTGATCTAAAATAACTTTCTGGTGATATAGTGTATATAAATTGATAGCTAGATTTATTTAGACTTTCGATATACATAGGCCTAATGCAAATACAAATTGTTGAATTCACTTAATGTAGATTTATAGGTATAACATTTTATGTGTGTTTTTTTCTTATGAATACTCTTGTTAGAATCTATGATTTCAAATTTATTAAAAGAGTTCCAAGGCAAGCTCCTACTAGATCCTACTATTCCTGATATTCCTACTGGATTTGAGCAACTCGAGTATGAACATTGTATCGCTATGCCCCTCGCTTAGCCCCGCTCTTTGGTTTAGGATGGATCCGGACTGGACTGCCACTTTTTCAAAAGAAGCTAGTTATAATGATATTGGAAAGCTTAATAGGCTTGTGATCCCACAGAAATATGCAACAAAGTGTGTCCTCCAATCCAAGATGAGAAGATAATCTTTTATGATACATCAAGGAGATTATGAAAGTTTAGAACATACAAAATTGAGAAAATTGCATAATTCTTATAAATTAGTTCCTAAATGTCTTAAAATGTTGCACAACTCCCTACAGAGTATTTCATAAAGGTTTCGCAAAAAAAAAAAACTAAAAGTCATATCACCAAAATATTCATAGGATAACATAAAAAAACTGAGAACATTATTTTGGATGCTCCGGGCGCCAGATCCATGGGCTAATACACACGAAAAATCGAATAATTTGGGCGATTCTTAAAAAAATTGCTTGTAAATGTGAAAATGAGAGTTAAAAAATTATGTGAGTATACGTGAAGGTTCCCCAACTCATTACGGAGGTCCTCATAAAATTTTTGAGAAAATATTTTTGGGTTCTACGGGGGGCAGATCCTATAGCTAATATACTCAAAAAATTGGGGAATTTAGTGATCCTTAAAAAAGGGTTTGTAAATGTGGAAATGAGCGTTAAAAATGGTGTGAGTATACTTGAAGGTTCCTTAAATCATTACGGAGGTCCTTATAATGGTTTTTGAGGATAAAAATTTGGGTGCTTCAAACGCCAGATCCATGGGCTAATACACACGAAAAATTAGGAAATTCGGGCGATTCTTAAAATAGGGCTTGTAAATGCGAAAATGGGCGTTAAAAAAATGGTGTGAGTATACATGAAGGTTCACTGACTCATTACGGAGGTCCTCATAAAGTTTTTTGAAAAAAAAATATTTGAACTCCGGCGCCAGATCCATAGGCTAATACATATGAAAAATTGGAGAATTTGGGCGATTATTAAAAAAGGGTTTGTAAATGCGGAAATGAGCATTAAAAAATGGTGAAAGTATACATGAAGGTTCCCCAACTCATTAGGTCCTCATACGTTTTTTGAGAAAAACTTTTTGGGTGCTCCGGACGCCAAATCCATGGGATAATACACACAAAAAATTGAGAAATTTGGGAGATTTAAAAAAAGAAGGTTTGTAAATGTGGAAATGGGCATTAAAAATGGTGTGAGTATACGTGAAGACTCACCAATTCATTACGAAGTTCCTCGTAAAATATTTTAAGAAAATAATTTTGGGTGCTCCGGGCTCTAGATCGATGGACAATAACACACGAAAAATGGAGAAATTTGGGCGATTCTTAAAAAAGGGTTTGTAAATCGTAAATAGGTGTTAAAAAATCGGTGTCAGTATACGTGAAGGTTCCCCAACTCATTACGGAGGTCCTCATAAAGTTTTTAAGAAATAACTTTGGGTGCTCTGGGCTCTAGATCCATGGGCTAATAAACACGAAAAATCAAGAAATTTGAGTGATTCTTAAAAATGGGTTTGTAAATGCGGAATGGGCATTCAAAAATGATATGAGTATACGTGAATGTTCCTCAACTCATTACGGAGGTCCTCATAAAGTTTTTTTAGAAAAAAAAATTTGGTTCTCCGGACGCCAGATCCATGGGATAATACACATGAAAAAATAGGTAATCGGGCGATTCTTAAAAAGGGGTTGTAAATATGGAAATGAGCGTTAAGAAAATGGCGTCAGTATAAGTGAAGGTTCCCCCACTCATTATGGAGGTCCTTATAAAATTTTATGAGAAAAAAAATTTGAACTCTGGACGCCAAATTCTTGGGCTAATACACACGAAAAATTGAGGAATTTGGGCAATTTAAAAAAAGGGCTTGTAAAATGCAGAAATGGGCGTTAAAAATAGTGTGAGTATACATGAAGGTTCTCCAACTCATTACGGAGGTCCTCATAAAGTTTTTTGAGAAAAACTTTTTTGGTTCTCCAGATGACAGATCCATAGGCTAATACACACGAAAAATAAGGAAATTTGGGCGATTCTCAAAAAAGGACTTGTAAATGCGAAATGGGCTTTAAAAAAATGGTGTCAATATACGTGAAGACTCCCCAACTCATTATGAATGTCCTCATACAATTTTTTAAGAAAAAACTATTGGGTGCTTCGGGCTCTAGATCCAAGGGCTTATATACATACGAAAAATTGGGAAATTTGGGCGATACTTATAAAAGGGTTTGTAAATACGGAAATAAGCGTTAAAAATGGTGTAAGTACACGCGAAGGTTCCCCAATTCATTACAGAGGTCCTCATAAAATTTTTTGAGAAAAACATTTGGGTTCTCCGGGTCAGATCCATGGGCTAATACACACGAAAAAATTGGGAATTCGGCGATTCTTAAAAAAGGGCTTGTAAATGTGGTAATGGGCATTAAAAATGGTATGAGTATACATGAAGTTTCCCCATTCATTATGAAGTCCTCATAAAGTTTTTTGAGAAATTTTTTTTTGATGGTTCAGGCGCCTGATTCATGGGCTATTACGCACAAAAAATTGAGAAATTTGGGCGATTCTTATAAAAGGGCTTGTAAATGCGGAAATGACATTAAAAATGGTGTGAGTATACGTGAAGGTTCCCAAACTCACTACGAAGGTCCTCATAAAGTTTTTTGAGAAAAAAAATTTGAATGGCCCGGGCGCCAGATCCATGGGCTAATACACACGAAAAATTGGAGAATTTGGGTGATTCTTAAAAAAAGTTTGTAAATGCAGAAATAGGCATTAAAAAATTGTGTGAATATACGTGAAGGTTTTCCAACTTTTTACGAAGTTCTTCATAATATTTTTGAGAAAAAAAACATGGGTGCTCCGGGCTCTATATCCATTGGCTATTACATACGAAAAATCGAGAAATTTGGGTGATTCTTATAAAAGGGCTTGTAAATGCGAAAATGGACGTTAAAAAAATTGTGTGAGTATACGTGAAGGTTCCCCAACTTATTATGGAGGTCCTCATAACATGTTTTGAGAAAAAAATTGCTTTGGGTGCCACATCAATGAGCTAATACACACAAAAAAATCAGGGAATTTGGGTGATTCTTAAAAATGGCTTATAATTACGGAAATGACAATAAAAAATGGTGTGAGCATACGTGAAGGCACCCCAACTTATTACGGAGGTCCTCATAAATTTTTTTGAGGAAAAATATTTGGGTGCTCCGGGCGCTAGATCGGTGGGCTAATACACATGAAAAATCGGGAAATTTGGGTGATTCTTAAAATAGGGCTTGTAAATGTGGAAATGGGTGTTAAAAAAATGGTGTGAGTATACGTGAAGGTTCCCCAACTCATTACGGAGGTCCTTATAAAAAAATTTGAGAAATTTTTTTTGGGTCCTCTGGGCGCCAGATCCATGGGCTAATACACACGAAAAATCGAGAAATTTGAGCGATTCTCAAAAAAAAGGCTTGTATATGCGGAAATGAACGTTAAAAAAATGGTGTAAGTATACGGAAGGTTCCCCAACTTATTACGGAGGTCACACACGAACAACTAAGAAAATCACCTAATTCCTATAACTTGACCCTTAAATGCCCAAAATGGACTCTAAAAATTGTGTGGTTGTATGTACTGCTCGCCCAATTCCCTACAAAGGTTTCGTAAAGATTTCACAATTAAATCATCTAAAATTCATATCACCAAAATATTCATGGGCTAAGACACACGAAAAATTAGAAAATTACTTATTTCTTTTAAATTGACCCCTATTTACCCATACTAAACTCAAAAAATGGTGAGATTATACGTGCTGCTCCCCCAACTCCCTATGGAGATTTCCTTAAAGATTTCGCAAATAAATCGTCTAGAACCCGTATCACCAAATTTTCATGGGCTAACCCACACGAAAACTGAAAATATCACCTAATTTCTTTTAAATTTGCTCCTAAATGCCCCAAATGGACTCTTAAAATTGTGAGATTGTGCGTATTGTTCCTCCAACTCCTTACAGAGGATTCCATAAAGGTTTCACAAAGAAATCGTCTGGAAACCATATCACCAAAATATTCATGGGTTAACACACGCGAAAAATTGAGAAAATTGCCTAATTTTTATAAATTGGCCTCTAGGCCCTAAATGCCCAAAATAGACTCTTAAAATGGTGAGATTGTACATGTTGATTCCCCAACTCCCTACGGAGGGTTTTTATGAAGGTTTCGCAAAGGAACCATCTCGAAGCCGTATCACCAAAACATTCATGGCTAACACACCAGAAAAACTAAAAGGTTATCTAATTCATGTAAATTGACCCCCTAATTAAAAACTAAATACTAAATGTTCATTGATAGCGTAAATAATTTTATATGATCAAATTAATTGTTTTTCTTATTTTGTCAGCTATCTGTTTTATTTGTAAGGTTACAAATCTTACTCTATTGTGAAGGTTATCGTTGGATTGTTTTTATAATTAATCTCATTGTGAGGTATTTATTTATTATTATTAGTGTATATAAGTTAAATTGTTTCTTATCGCCAAGTATTTTTATGCTCTTTTTTGGGGCATGAGACTTCAAAAAGTTTTGCTCTTAGAAAATTTAGCAACACCTTTAAATGACAGTTTTTAATACTATTTTTGTTAATCAGGAAGTGATAAATATGGATAATAGACAAAAATGGGAGCTAAGTGAATAAATTAAAATGAATTCAGCTGCTACTTCTTCTTTTTTTCTTCCTTTTGCCCCCCTCTTATCTTACAATGTAGCAGAGTTCTATATTACAAAATCAAAATTTGTGTGGAGTTGTAAAGACCACAAGTACTAGTTTGTTTACACTCACAATTAGAATGGCATCTAAGCTTTTATGCATGCAACTTCCTACACACAAAGGTTAGTTTCATCTGGGGCTGTAACAGTTAAATGTTCAAGTACATGGCAACAAATGGCTTCTGTGTCAAGCCGGCGAAAAAGAACAGCAATGGTGATTGATGTACCTAACTCTTGAGTCAATATCAGAACTAGAAGCAGCCATCAGAGTAGGAAGTGAGAAAGAATCCAATCGAGAGCCCAGCATGGGCATCTCCGAGCCAAATAGCTTAGCTTGGTCCTTGGAAACTCATCATGTCAACAGCAGTCAATAAGGTATTACGTATGGGAGAGCAAAAACATCAGCAGAGTCTATTTGCAAAGCTTCTGACCATACCTGATGGTCCTTAACTTCATCAAGACACACGTCGGGTTTCCTAACCAGAGTACTCTTGCTTCCAAGCAACCATTCCTGGTCATAAAATCCAGACCACTCGTCCATCTTGGGAACTGAGAGTATCTGGTTCAGATACTTGGAATCGGGATGAGGAGGTCTTTTAGACGCTTGAGCAATATGATCAGCACCAGGAGACATGGAAGAAGCCTTTGGTTTAGATTGAGCCAATGTCTTTCGTTTAGACATAGTTAATGGCTGACCTTTAATTGTACCATTGACCCTGCGCTCCCTGTTTCCAACCTCGATATCAGTGGCAACTCCGTGCTTGTTGGGTAACTTAATTGTACCATTAACCCCACGCTCCTTGTTTCCCATCTCAATATCAGTGGCAACTCTGTGCTTGTTGGAAAACTTAATTGTACCATTGAGACTCTGCTCCTTGTTTATCACCTGAATATCGGTAGTAACACCTTGTTTGTGGGAAGATAACATGTCTGTTTTTTGGTGAGTCTCCATGTTTGCCATCTCAATATCAGTGGCAACTCCGTTCTTGTTGGATAACTTAAATGTACCATTGAGACTCTTCTCCTTGTTTATCACCTGAGTGACGGTGGCAACACCTTCTCTGTGGGAAGATAACATGTCTGTTTTTTTGTGAGTTTCCATGTTTCCCATCTCAATATCAGTGCCAACTCCGTGCTTGTTGGACAACTTACTTGTACCATTGAGACTCTGCTCCTTGTTTATCACCTGAATATTGGTGACAACACCTTGTTTGTTGGAAGATAACATGACTGCTTTTTGGTGATTCTCTAATCTCTTTCCATTCAGTGTGGGCTGATGAGAGGATGAGGGCCGCAGCAATTTAGCAGGCCTGACTTCATTCTCTGTACATTGGAACAGAAAACAAGCAACACTAATCAGTCAAACCCAAAGAACAATCAAAGCTGAACATGCTAGATTCAATTTTATAAAAAAATGTTGAAAACAGTGCTTACCAATTACCTAACAGACAGCTACAGCCAAAAACATAAGAAACAAATCATATACACACTTGCAGAGCTTTCCTACTATCAATAGAGGATAAAGCAATATAGTATTCGATAAAATAGCAGATGCTAAATTTTTTGTTCACTCACCATGCAAGAAACCGTTTGTTTCAATATCCTTTCTTTTTCTGTGATTTCCCTCTGTGACTCCAGCAATGGTATCCTTGAGTACAACTGGAACTTGGTGGTTGGTGTTACTAACACTGAGAGAAGTGCTTTGATTGATGTCCTTTGATTTATCCTTTTCACTTTTCTTGTGTGCACTTTTGTCCTTCCCCTTCTCTTCCTTTTTCTTTTCTTTATCCTTTCCATGACTTTTCGCATCCTTTTCTTTTTTCTTCTTCTTGTCTCTTGGTTTGTCATCTCGTCTTCCTTTGGATTTCTCTTTGTCCTGTCTCCTGTTCTCAACATTCTCTTCCAATGGTGGTAGCAATCCATGAAAGTTTCTATTTTCCATCTCTGAAAAGCTCGGAAGTTTTGCATTAGCACCAATTCTCGGTTCAACTCTGACTTGATGTCCATCCATCTTGTTGCTAAAATCACTTCTCTCCTTGTTCTTTTCCTTTTCTCTAGCCAAATTACCCGAATCCTTGATATACATACTGTTTGACTTCGCATCCCTTTTCGACTCAACTGGAAATCTCTCAGCCAACTGACTGACTGCGCCATTCTGGTCATCTCTAAGCCTCCTAGCCAAATCCTGCACATATTTTGACTCCTCTGTCTCAACAATGGGGAGGCTGGATTTAAAGAGCTTTTCAGCAAGCTGGCCATGAGACTGATCATGGAATTTCGCTTCCTGTGAGTTGATGCTTTCATTTTTGAAATGTTCGTCTCCACTAGGAAGCTTCTGTCCGCTAGAAGCCCCAGGTGGAACAGCAACTTTTGCCTCTTCAGAGATGTCGCTTCTCTCTTTATCCTTATCCTTGTCCTTCTTTTTGTCCTTGTGTTTTTCCTTCTTGTCCCGGTGTTTATCCTTTTTGTCCTTTTCTCTGTGTTTCCCATCACTTCTGTCTTTATCCCTTTTTTCTTTACCTTCTTTCTTATCTTTGTCCTTTTCCTTTTTATGTTTTTTCTCTTTCCGTTTCTCCTACAGAACAGGAAATAATGGCAATTCTATATCAATAAATGAAGAAACCTGAGGCAAGAAATTAAATTCTAGAAACCGAGTAAAAGCACCAAACTTGGTAATAATCAGATTTAGGAGTTCAGATGAAATCCTAAATATAGGCTACTCGAGCATAAACACATGAGAGCACTAAGGAAATTGCAGTAGTTGCCTAGGAAAAGTACCAACACTGGTTTAGAACCACTAACCTTCATTAGAGCAAATGAGAAAGAATACGTAGCCATATAATGTTAAATTAGTAATAAGAAAGCAAAACCACTAAACAATGGCATGTAATTACATTGAAAAAATAGTAACAAGCACACGAACAATTTGGAAAGCAGTGAAAGTTAGGCAAAGACCTACAACTGAAAATTTTATGTTTTGGGATGGTCAATGGTAGCCAAATAAAACCAAAAGAGAAGAAAATCAATGATAAAAACGTATCATCCTCCAACACAAGACAAGTCAACAACAAACTCCCAACACTTTTTTCCAGCTCTATGTAGTTCACACACTAAAACAAGCTTCTATATCCTCAAGAATCACAACTTAACAACCTTGGGTAAAAAGGGAACAAGCAACATCTCAACTTCCCAATTTACATCACTAAAATGCACATAATTAACAACTGAAGAGTTGAATCTCTGGCTCATCTGAGAAATAAATGCCAGATCACCTCAATATAGAGGAAGTTTGTTAGCCCTCGTGAACAAGGAACAGGCATTCAAGGCCAGTTCATTGCTTCCACTAACATGGGACGCCAGTTACACGACTGCTAAAATGGTCAAACTGCTTTGACATTAGAGTATGCTAAGAAATAAGATGTAGTGGTTTCTGACAATACACAATAAGTTGATCCATTTTCCATCACCGGCGTGTTATCAATTACCACCTTTGTTTAGCAAAAATAAATTTTGAATCCTACATGTTACTACACCCTCCTATAAAGTAAACACACTCCATGCTTTTTAATTGTCCTTCAACTGCACAGATAATTACAATCTCTATTGACATGGAAGGGATCTCCATAAGTTTCAAAACTTCTCGAAAATTTTCTACCCCTGAATGGGAAACATCCTTAACTCATCTAGTTGCTCCAGATTACCATCTTGTCATTAATATTGGGAAGGATGAAGTAACAGTGCAGGAAGGTTTGCTAGCTATTGCATAGGAGCGGGGGTTTTACCCTGTGCACACCCAAAGGGCAGCGGCTGCGGGTTTCCCTTGTCATAAAAAAAAAAAGTAACAGTGCAGGAACATTGATTTTACAAGAACTGGGAACATAACGGGAACAGGACATTAGGGAATGCAAAACCGAAGGTAACAACATCTTCTAGACAAAGTCATTCTACCGCAGGCTACATAAGAGGGATGACCTAGGATTTCCATATCATTCAATATGGATACTGAGAGCTCCAAGGTTTGCTTGTTAGCTTGGATGGCAACAAAAGGTATCCTAATGGTAGAGAACTCGAGGAAAGGGAAAATAACGTATATTAGCTGGTATTCCTTCTTTCTTTTTTTGAACAGTAAAATATATGTTAGATGGTATTTCAAGTGCAAGCGTTCAGGAGAAGACAAGAAGCACTTACTAATGCACTGTAAAATAGCAAGTCAATTGTGGTGGATAGTCCTTAATGTTAAGAAACAATGGACAATGCCAGAAACAATTAAGGATGCGATGAGCAGTTGGGCATACAGGAGGAGAGGAGGAGAGGTAAAGCATCTGGTGTAGCACCCTATTCACTTCTTGTGGGCACTTAAAAAATTTTCTTTGAATAACCTAGCTGCAGATTCAAAGTTTAACCTTTTAACTCAAATAAAACTTCATAATGAAGCATATATAGTCCGCCACTATGAGTGGAAACTTTTAATAGAATTTATTTTTCTTCCCTTTTTAGCAACTGCTTCTAGCTATACTTGGCACCATTATGAATTATGAGGTATAAAAGATATGATTTGTATGGTTGGATTAAGATACCTCCCAATCTGCAATGTGACAATACCCTGTTAAGTTACCAGATAGCAAGACAACCTATACCTCCCTTCTCATTCCCTCTTCCTCTTAAGAAAGAAAAGAACAGGGGAATTCCTCCTCTACTTTGCTGCATCTTAGTTTTCTACTGAAGCTAAAAATCCTTCTTCTCATGAGATAAGAGCGCTCTCTTTCCCCTCACACACTAAAGCTAAGCTGACCAAAACCAGTCAGAATGTTGGCTGCTTCATGAAGCATAGCTTGTGGCATCCACAGGCAAGTGCAATTTGCGCAGAACCAATTTTCCTAGGTCCATCTTCAAAAGAATTCTCGGGCAATACAAGGGCACCTTCTAGAAAGGTGATCACTGAATATTAGGTACAGGTCTAAGTTATTAAGATCATACAAGAGACTAATAAATAAAAGGCCTCAGGTGAACAAGTATACACATGCAAAAGCTTGCAATTCACTTCCTATTCTAGGACTTGGGACTGCCTGAATTGGTGAACTAATTGTAAAAGAAGCCTCTTCTTGTTTTCAGATAAGTTATACTGAAAGGAACTAGTGATAAATGAAATCTGTAACCATATACACCCTAATCTTGGTGAGGCACACATATTCTCTTCTGCCAAATCATTCACTTAATGTCAGATTTTAACTCAATAAACAGCCCAAAATGAAACAGGTGGCATATGTTCAGATATAACAATTCACATTCTAAGGAACAACAAAGGCTTTCCAGGACAACCATTTTGTATGAGGATAGAAGACATGCAAGTATTATTAGGCCTTCTGGTGTTATTTCATTCAGATCGACTGTTTATATCATGTTCTAATAGGAGGTAATCTAATATCTTGAAAGTAAAAGGCAAGAATAACAGCTAGATCAAGAGTAGAAAAAGAATATCAAGCAATGACTGGCTAAATGTGAGCTTCTGTATAAAGCAACTTCTCAAAGAGTCGAGGTGCAGAGAAGATGAACCAATGAAATTGATCTGCGATAATCAGTTGCATTACACATTGCTTCAAATTTGGTGTTTCATTAAAGAACGAGTTGTTTAAAAATAGACTATAATTTTACTCAACAAAAGATTGAGGTTTCTTCAACTCAAATGATTATATGGAAAAAATTCTAAGAAAATTATTATCTGGCTCCAAATTGAGTAAACTCAAAACAAGTATTTCTTCAACTTGAGAGATGGAGTTAAGAATATTCTAAATTTATAGTCAAGACCTTGGGAATATCTGAAATATAGAATCTTCAAATTGTAAATTTAGACATGTCTTTGTTTTTAACTCGTAGATACTAATACTGATTGAATCTCAAAATGCTTGAGAAAACATCAAACAATTCATTCTCAAAATCTCATGTTTCTCCTTTCTTTCTTTTTTTTAAGACAAAGGTAAGTATCTCGTGTTTCTCCTTTCTTCATGGATATCGGGGGGACACTATGAAACACACATAGTACAGGTTGCCACTGAAAGAACATGTGCAAAAGCATGTTTACACAAAGCAAAATGGTCAGGCAGTGATACGCCCATTCATACTTAAGTAGCACATTTAAAATATTTTAAGAGAAAACAAAAAAGGGAAGAGGAAACTGTCATACTCATAATAACTAAAATGACGCCATTTAACCTGAGGATATATTTGCTTGGCTGCCACAAAAATAAAGGCATTCTCCACTAAAATCTAAGGTCTTCAAAAGGAACGATCCCCAATATCCTCAGTAAGTTCTACAGAAAGGTTATTTTTCCAAAGGTTTTAAGACATCACACGGCAGAAATATCCACTACACAGAATCATGGTGTACCTCTTCACACAAAATGTGCTAATGATAAGACTGATCAATAAGTTTCTCTTTTCTTCATTTTGTATTCTTTTCACCAACGACAATAATTACAATGTCTGATGAGTTTTCCACAACTCAATGAGCAACTCTAGATGAAAGAGACTGATCAATAATTGCAACATATCACAACTGTTCCCTTAAGATGTCAACTAATGGATTCCACAATTATCCAAAGAAACTCAATGGGTTTTACTTGCATTAGTCAGCCAAGTTCATCTTAAATCCAGAATCTTTTTTTCATATCAAAAACTTAATACCCAAAAGGAATGACTAAACCATGACCAAACAAAAGAATCAGGCATCACGTCCTCACTAATCTAGAAAAAACAACAAGCATATCCCTATACATCTCTTTTAAACAATATTACCCTATCACTGAGTAAAGCTTCAAAAGAGTCTTCTCCATATAAATTAATCCAATCACATTACTGATGTTTAAAGTATCCTTCATACTTCAAAGATTACTTTTAAAAAAATCAATCCATCGGAATATGTCCATGCATCACAGCTAAATCCCTTTATATTAAGGTAACCGTCATGAAATATCAGTATTGGTATAACAAAAGCATATCAACACAATAATGATATTGTCATAGAACTTAAACAAACCTCTTTTAATAAGTCCCTGTCCTCTGGTCTAGGCTTCTTATCATATCCTGGTGGTGGAAATGGAAAGCAACGCGACATGGCACAGAATTCTACTCTGAGTTAAAAAGGCGCTGTTTCGGAAACAGTGTCCTTCAGTTACTTTCTCACAGCAGTGTTCCAGTAACAAGCAACTAGACTTCTGTCCATTCACCATGACCCCACATTACTTTCCAGCTTCAATGCACCTCCATTTAATCCTTTTAACTCAAATCAGTCCAAAAACCAACCAACAGCCAAAACCAACTTAATTAGACTAGCTCTTCACTTCAAATATCCCAATGTGATCAACAGAGTAATCTGAAACTCCTTTCAATATACTCTAAATCTAAGACGACCGAGTTAAAACACGAAAAACCACCACAAAAGCCTTTCAAGAACTATGTCAAACCAAATGATTTTCCTTTTCCAAAGAAATCTGATCCTTTTTCTTGTCTGCAAAACCAAAACTTTACAAACATCACCTCTTGCATATCAATTCCAAATGCAAATAACATAAACATTCCCTACACTATTAAGCCTAAACAAAAAATGACGAAAAACGCGATCCCCTTTTCACCTGAAAAGCTCGAAAACCTCCTTTTCTTTTTCCTTTGCTTCAGTAGTTCCCGGTCTCTAGTAGTACATACAGTCCTCTTCCATACCCTAATCTCTATCATTCAATTCCCAACCTCAAATATCCACCAAAGACCATATTTTCCCTCCGATCTGGAGCTGTAAATTACTCAACAAAAAGCTGAATTCAACACTGAGAAAGTTCCAATATGCTGATCAAACCCGAAAATTACTTGGCGCTTTCCCCCAGTCACTGATCCGATTTGAAAGCCCTAGAAAATTCCATCAAAACCAGCAAAAGAACAATCATTCAGCACCCAAGAACAGAACAAAAACCCTAAATTTGTACATAAAAACTCAAACTTGTTTCAGTTTTGTGGAATCAAAGTGAAAAATCCAACACCCTTTTCCAAAAAACTCATCTTTTCATCAAAAAAACTCAAAAATTCCCATTTTAATTCAAAAATCAAGAACCCCAAATGGGTAAAAAAAATAAAATCTTTAGCTGAGATTACAATCAATGAGATTAGATTTAATTCTTAATTTGTTATTTTTTACCTTTTTATGAGGGATAAGATCTCAACCAATATAACATGAAAAACAATTAGGAAAGAATGGGTTTTTGCAGCAAAAACTATTGTATTTTGAGTTTTCTCTTTGTTATGATGATGAACAATAGGGTTTGAGAAAACTGGGTTTTTTGTGTTTTTAATTTTTATTTTTTTCCTTTTCTGGTTTTGCTTTGCTGTTTTTTTCTGTTCTGGGCTTGGGGGAAATGCACGCAAAATGGCCAGGAGAAAGAGGGAAAAAAGGGAAACAGAGAGGTAAGAGTCTAAGCCTCACATATATATATATATAAAATAACAGAGAAATGTTTTTGTGAGAAAAAAAAAAAAAAGGGGGGGGGGGGGGGGGGGGGGGCGGAGGGGGGAGGACTAGGGGGGAGGGGATGGGGGGGGAGGGGGAGGACTAGGGGGAGGGGTGGAGGTGGGAGGGGATGGGGGTAGAGGTGGGAGGGGTAGGGGATGGGGGTAGGGGTGGAGGTGGAGGGGTTAGGGGGTGGTTCATCAAACACGTCGAATCATGAGGATCTATGGTATTAGGGTGGGGGTGGAGGGGATGGGGTGAGTGGGGGGTGTGATTCATCAAACATGTCGAATGGGTCTATTGTACATAGTTTAACTCACTTTCATAGCTCGAATATGTGATTATTAGGTTATATGACAACAACTTTACTAGTTACGTTAAGACTGTTCGCATACACTCTTTCTCTTTTTCAATACTTGATCGTTTTAGAATTGACTTCATATACATGCAAAACTAAAGAAATTAGGATTTGGAGTTGGTAACTTCAGTTATACGTATCTAAAGTTGGATTTACTAAAATGTAGCTTCATATTTGTATGTTTGAAGTTGGTATATTGCTTGTAGTGTTTGAACTTCAAACATTTGATTAGGTCTAAAGTTAAGCTTGATACTTGACCGTTTAAACTTTAGTCTTATATATTTAAAGTTGCAATTACCATATCTCTAACTTCAGACTTAAACATTTTAGACTTGAAATTGCAAATTTGAATCATACGTATTTGAAGTTGAGATTAATAAAACCTAATTAACTTCAAATCTTCACGTTTATAGTTGATATATTGCTTGTGGTATTTATAATTGATATATTGCTTGTGGTATTTGAATTGCAAACATTTACCTATGAAGTCAAATGTGATTTCAACTTTAGACATGTATGTTTGAAATTTCAAATTTGAATATTCTAAACTTAAAGTTGCAAATTTTAATTATATGTATATGAAGTTGGGCTTATTAAAATTTAACTTTAAATTTGTATGTTTGAGGTTGGTATATTCCTTGTAGTATTGTTCCCTTATGAAACTCAGCTACTCATTAATAGTATTTTCTTGCATTTACTAGACAATGGAACATATAAAGTTATAGTTTAGCTTGTATAATTAAATGTTCAAGCTTGGGAAAATTAGTTTTTTGTTTGGTTATGTAACGAACGATGACAAAAGTAATAAAGCAAATCAAGTAATACTTTTTGTGGAAGTGTCTCCTTCATATGATAATGAAATGTTTAATATTTCTTTTCTCAATAATAGAAGTACTCTTAAAAAGCAAAAAATAAAATCGTATTATCTAAGTATGATCTAAATTTTTATAGTTGATTATGAACTTTTGAAAAAATAGACAAGATTTTTTTGTTCAAGAACAACATTTATGAAACTTCCTATAAATTGGGAATTAATGTTTTGAAATAGTTAATATTTTTAACTATATAAACATGAACTCACCTAACAAAATGCAAGAATTTTCCTAATAAATTGTCATTATATCTCATTTGCAGAATTCAGGGTAGTTTATGCTTTAAATTTTGTTTTCCAAATTATTGGCTTTTCTTTTAATGCAAATCACAAAGCTCTAATTAAACAAACTTGCAGTGGCAATTTGTTTTAACAATTTATTTTCCAAGATGCTTTCAAAGCTTAATACTTACTTAGCTTCCATAATAGTTGTTCACTTTACCTTTACGGGCTCCTTAAGAAATTATAAATAAGAAGAACAATTTTAATAATTTACTCTTTAAATTATTTTTTTTGAAATTTTACTTATTTATTTACACTTTCAAAACAATTAATTGTAAGTGTAAATTTTAAAAAATAAATAATTAACTGTCTCAAAAATTGACAAATAATTTGGGACAAAACTTTTATAATAAAGTGGACAATTAATATGAAATAGAGGAAACATATATCTCTCATCTTTCAGAATATCTTAAATTTTGTTAGTCACATATTGTCATAGATAAGAAAAGTTAACGTCTTGCTCCGCACATATAATGATAGAAAACTACTTATATAATCATGGTGTATAATATGTTAATTTTGTTTTTTTTTAAATAGATCAATTTTCTTATTCATATATATAATATGTTTATTTTTTTGTATTTACTTTTTTATATTTTTAAATCCGTCCGACCTATATCTTTACCTTAATATACATGAGTTTCTACTTTCTGCTTCAATTCACATTTTGCATTAAATAGGCAGACATTAATAAAAATATTTACAAAAGCCGTAATTAATTAGTTTGGCATTTTATATATGTGACTTTTTTGTTAAAACAAAATTGTAAGTTGTGGATATTTAGGTGTAATAAACTTGTATTCCTAGTAAGTGAATATTTTGATGTGTCTTAAATGCGATTAATTGAACTCGTGATATTGTGATATAATATTTTCTAAAGAATAAATACGATATATTGTATATGTGCCTTTTTTTTTTCTCACATCACCAATGTGGAATAAGAAAGTTGATGTGTCTCTTCAATACGCAAATATGTTTGATAACACAACTCAAGAAGAAAGACTCAATCTTAATTATTTATCTTCAAATTATCTAGACCAACTAGAAAGAAATAATGTATGGGTTCGAAAAAATGATATGAAATAAATACCTTATTCGCTTTTTCCCCTAAACAAATAAGGTAAATAATAACTCTCCTTTTTTAATTAGACGTCTCAAATTTTGATCCTATAAATAAAAAAACTTTAAATGAAAACGAATTTGATGAAACACAAATTCAAAATAGTTAAACTAATGTTTTGTGAATACCAAATGCATACATAGGAAAAGAAAATAATATCTCCTTATATAAAAAAACAAATGTGCACTAGAAAACACAAAATCAATAAGATTTGTAGCTTTTTATTGTTGGTATAGAATAAATATAAACTTATACATCTTCAAGTGTACCTTTAATAAATGACTTTCTATTTTTGGTATTTACACCAAATACAAAGAATCTTGAATATTATTTTTTGTACTTTTACTTTCTTATTTCTCAGCTTGTGTACCCCTAGTAGTATTTTCTTCTCTTAATAGGAAAAAAATATTAGATAAATCTAGGGTACATTTGTTCCTTTAAATTTAAACATCAGCTTAAAAGAATGAAACAACGAGAAATGATGCAATCATAAGAAGGAGGAGACGCTACTTGCAAAGACTATCTTGATGATCCATTTATTTTTACCCCTAAGAGAGAGTCGTCAAAAAATTCATTTCAGGAGTGAAAAAAAATCTGACATACGTAAATTATAATAATACGTGTTATGTGCATTCATCGTTTCTTATTCATGGAGTAAGGATACTGTTTGATTTAAAGATAAATTATGTCAACGTAAGAAAAATATATTTTATTTTTCACCCGATGTTTGTGAGCGTGTGGTTCACTCGCTTATAGGAGCGTGAAAGAAGAGTTGTAGGAAAAGGCCATTTTGCCTAATCTACATGTGGGTTGGTTCCTTCCCCATTGTGAAAACATCAGTCTTGTCCATCCACGTGTCACTTCAGGGCTATTTTTAACTATATATCTAACCGTACACGTGTCCATTTGTCACCTTCCAATCTTTGAAATGACAAAATTGAGTTCTTCATGTAGAGGGGAGCAACTAAATGATCCTTCTAGTTCTAGTAGGGAGAATATAACACTATGTGTAGGGGTGGAGCTAGCTAGGATCAGCGGCGTAGTTATAGTCATCTCAGGGTGTCTAATTGAACACTCTTTATCAAAAAATTACATTGTATGCATATGTCAAATTATACATTTAAAGAATATATATTTAAAGTTGGGCACCTTTAACAAAAAATATGCCATTGGCGTAGTGGTAATGAGTGTCTATTCAAATGGAGTTCAGGGTTTGAACCCCAAATAACACAATATTTTTTTGCTTTATTTTGACTGTCACACATCATTATTCTTGGATACCCTTAATAAAATTTCTGGCTCCGGCGCTGGCTAGAACTCAGGGTATTCATTGAAAAATTATATTATCTTTTTACGTATATATGATAGATATTAAATTCTTTTTTATTTTTTCGTGTGTTTAATTCGAACTTTGCCGCTAATCATGAGATGTAGTAGAATAAAGGAGAGGTACTTTATGAGGCGCAAAGTTATATTATAGTTGTCAAACTTCTTAACGTGCATGTATATTTGAAATTTGAAAATGTCATTATGAAATTTCAGGACATTATCATGGAGTTTCGTTTATGGAATTTAAAACTTCATGACAACAGCTATTTTTTCAATAACATGGCTAAAGAATGGCTAGCCCACGCATTGTTACTACTTACTACAAAATGAATAGTTTCTTAATTATTAGGAAATTTGTTGATATGGGCCTAAAGGTCTTTCATAGGCTTCTATTTATTTGGGCCTTGACTATCCTACCCAGCCCAGTAATCCAGCCAGCCCATGTATAAATATATGTTCTTGAAGGTCATATATCTTGTTTAGGGTATGTGTTTAGACCTGGGAAAATCGAGTTCAGTATTTTCGATGCAAAAGAATAAATAAATTTTATGAAGTTTCAATGAATGTCCAATCCGGACTTGTAGGTTTAAAGTACAATAAGTTTAGTACTAAGAACCTTAAATGCTGAATCCAACAAGTTAAAATTCTTAATTTGCCTATGAGTTTAGGGTTTTCAGTTTCATATACAGTGCTTCTAATTAATTAATTGTAGAAAGACATGCAAATAATTTTTTATATATATATAGTATCGGAAAATATGTGGCCTATCTTCACTATTTTTTCTTAGGAAGTATGATTATCACCATTAGTTTGTCTTTAACATGGTTTTTACACACTTTATTTAGATTAATATATTTAAATCTATGACTTTTTTTCCCTTTTTAAATCTTTAAAATATAAAAACTATACAAAAGAGAACCAATAAATATAAAGCTAAAGAAAGCATAAAAGAGAATCTTGATTTTTATCATTGAAATAT